TCTTTTAGTCTAAGGAGAGGCTAAAGAATAGTTTACTTAGTATTTGATCTAGGGAGGATCAACTAAGGGAAATATCCCTGTATGGAAACTTTGTCTGAAACAAGTGCTCTACGTCAGAAAGATACTGTGTAACTTGAAAGAATGAACTGTTAAAGTTACAAGTATTATTCCAAGTGCAACAAGGAAAAGTTACGTCCTGCAACCACACGCTGTGTACTTAATAAAATTGTTACCTTTTATTTGAAGATTGCCCCAGTTCCGTCTATTCTGTGTACAAAGTGCCATTTCTCACAATATTACAACTTACCTCACGTGGTGGCAGAAACGCAGGGAAAAGTAACCAAATAAATCTACATTCTTCTCTCCAGTCATGCTACAGTATATACAGTGTAATTACTACTAAGTTATTACTTTCTTAATAAAGGAGGAGGTGCAATTGAACAGCCTCCCTCCTAACTTGATGGCAAATTTGGTTCCTAATCGGTAACCTCCATCGCAAATCGGCTAAGTCTTTTTAAAATTGGGAACTGGGGTAAAATCTCCTGAATCCTGGTTCCTTTCAAATTGGTGGCAACAATAAAACATCCCTCAGCTTCCCTGCTTCATTTCAGGGGGATCTGGCCACACTGGTCCCAGCTTTCTCCGGACTGGCTTCAGGGAATCCCGGGACCCAACTTGAGCAGGACTTTTGTGCTGGGAATTGCCCCCAAAGCATCACCTGTCCTAGCTCCGCTCCTCAAATGGAGCAGGAAGGCGACCCTTCAGAAATGCACTGGAATGTGCCAAAGGGGCCACCTCCTGAGCCATAGGGGCCTCCTCAGGGGTGGGCCGTATATAGTCGTCAGCAAAGTGAGGTAGTCAGTAATGTACATAAGAGAAAGTGCTTTTGGAAGTAGGAGAAGGGCCATGGAAGATAGGTCCAGCGACACAACAGGCTGAGAGGGGCCCCTGACCCACCCCCAACCTGCAGCCTGCTCCTAACCTGCACCAAGCTGGCTCCCCCCGCCAGGGATCAGGTCCTCGGGCACCTCAGGCAGGCCCCCTCCTTCCTCCAGCTGCCCTTCGATCCTCCCAATGGTCTTGGCGAGAGAGAAGTCTGGCACGGCCACGTCGTCGGCTGCGAGGGGCACATGGCGAGGCCTGGGCTTGGCGCTGGAGGGACAAAGGAAAGGAGCAGAGCAGCCAGTGCAAGGCAGGGGGGCTGGCCCACGCGGAGGAAGGCTGCCCAGGGAGCCGAGAGAGAAAGAGAGAGAGACCACCTGGGGAGGGGTACTAGAGAGGAACCCGTGGCCCTCGGACAATGACGATGGGCTGCCGCCGACTTTACTCCACTCATTGCGGCTGTGACATTCTTATACGAAAATACCACTTGCACATAAAATAAACAAATATAGAATGTCTATATAACTGCTTGCTGAATTCTATTATTGTTTACTTTATGTACAAGTGGTATTTTTGTTGCATGTACCGTATATACTCGAATATAAGCCGACCCGAATATAAGCCGAGGCACCTAATTTTACCACAAAAAACTGGGAAATCTTATTGACTCGAGTATAAGCCAAAGGTGAAAAATGCAGCCGCTACTGGTCAGTTTGACAGGTGACCACCCAGTTTTCTGTCATTCCCCCCCCCCTCGCGGAGCACGAGCTTTCCTCGGCGGCAGAGGAGAAGGAAGCCCCTGCGGCGACTTTTCCGCAGGCTTGCTCTCCTTCTTCCTGGTCCCATGCGCGGTGGCGGGGGCAGCGGCGGGAGGAAGCAGAAAAGCTGCGCATGGGCGAAGGGGGAAAGGAAAGTGCTCACGGCTCCCCTTCCTCTCTTGCCGCGCACGCACCTTGTTCCTTGTCCCATGCGCAGCCACGGTGGCGGGGGCAGCGGCGGGAGGACACAGAAAAGCTGCGTATGGGGCGAGGGGGGCAGAGCAAGTGAGCGCCACTCCCCTTCCTCTCTTGCTGCGCGCACACCTTCTTCGGCGACAGAGGCAGAGAAGACGCGCGAAGGAGAAGGGAAAGGTGCGCGCCTTTCTCTCTGTTGGGGTTCAGCCTGATCCTGATCTGTGTGAACCGGATTCTCTGATAGTTTTTCCCTGACAGTGTGGAATCTGTTGTTGATGCTGAGGTCAGCGGCAAGGAAAGTGAAACTCAACAGCTGGAGGAAAATGTTTTGGAAGCTAGCCGTGATATCTCTCCAGCTGGGTTTTTTAATGAGGACCGAAGAGAACAGTTAGTTAGAGACAGAAATGTTTCACAGTTTCTACGAAGGTCAAATCGTTTACAGGAGAGACAGGCCCAGGCTTCAAAGTCAAGGGGCGTTTCAAAGAATATCTTCTTTGGTTTAAGGGGCCTCCTGCCGGGTGTCTCTTTAGATCAAGCAACGTTTGGGACTGTGGCTGTGCCTTGGCAGAATTCCTGTGTTCCATGGCCGGTAATCCCAGAGGCTTCTAGTTTTCAAGTTCATGGTTAGCGAGAGGCTAACAGGTTCCTGGTTCTTGTATTGTGGCTTTTGGAATTTTGCTCAAGTTCAGAGATTCTACTGACTGCTGTGTTTCTATTGTGGCTTTTTGACTTTGCCTTTACCTTTCTTTTGTAACCAATTTTTCATCAATAAACAAGGATTGTTTTTTCTACAGTCCACTGTGCTGGATTTAATCTTATGGTCTCGTTTCTTGATCTGGGATGCAACACTCTCCTCCCTAGGGAAAGGTGCGCCTTTACTGCCGCTGCCGAGGAAGACTCAGCGGCGGTAAAGGCGCGCACAGGGCAAGGGAGGAGAGAAAGGCGCACACCTTTCCCTTCTCCCTCGCGCGCCTTTCCCTCCTCCGCTGCCACCGCCACCGTGGCCGCGCATGGGACCAGGAAGGAGAGCAAGCCTGTGGAAAAGCCTGCCGCAGGAGCTTCCTTCTTCTCTGCCGCTGCCGAGGCCGCCAAGGAAGGCTTGCCTTTCCCTCCTCCTCCGTCGTTCCCTGACCCGAATATAAGCCGAGGGGAGGTTTTTCAGCCTGAAAAAAAGGCTGAAAAATGGCTTGTATTCGAGTATATATTCAGGAACCTATTTATATTATTCTTACGCGAAAACCAGTCCGACAAGCACAGAGGCTGTTTGTCTTATTTAGAGCACACCTGTAAAGCATCTATGATCAAGCCTGTAGTCTCTCCATTGAGGTACCTTGGAAGCGGCCGTCTCTCCTTCCCGGCTGCAGGCGCAGAACTGGATTTCTTCTTGTTGAGGGGCTAAGGTAAATGCACAAAAGAAGCCACCGATGCATTTTGATCTCTCACGCTTTGTCGTCTGCTAAGAAACCCCAAGCGCTTAGAAGCCCCCAGCCAACATGAACCCAAAGGCACTGAATCCATACCTGACGGGGGGGAGGAGCGGACGAGCCGGGAGAAAGTAAACCTCTGGAGAGAAGAAAAAGGACACGAAAACATTGTATTGGAGTTCATTCTCTTGGCACTCACACTGCAGAAGGGGAAGGGGAATGGCATCATGGACCGTGAAACAAGAGAGTGGAGGGGACATGTGGGAGGCCAAAGGAAGAAAGGGCAGGGTGTCAGGAGTCAATTTCTAATAAGGAAACTGGGAAGAGCGGGGAGTGGGCAGGAAAGGTGTATAAAAGGGAGTGGTGGTGGGAAAAAGTCAGTAGTGTATTTCTTTGCTGCAGAGATACAAGTAATATATCCATTTCAAAGCAAAACCGGCTTGTGAGTGATCATTTAATATTGCTATATAAAACCTACAGTCTTACACAGGGCTGAACTCGGGTACCAAATGAGACAAGGGAGCATCAGGCAAGCAGGGCTGGGTCTTTGGATAATAAAAGCACGGTCTTGATGGGGAGACTGGGAGGCAAACAAGATCCCAATCACCTGGTGGGATTATGGGAGAAAGGGTAATTGGAGTCTCCCCCTCCCCCCCGGAACATAGGGCAGGATATAAATGCAGTTTTATTATTATCATCAATTGGGAGCAAGCCAATCTGAGAGATCCAGAGCCCTACTCTGGGCTCGGATCAACAGAGAAGGGAATTGTGGAGAGAAAGGAAGGGGAGGAAGGGCCAAGTGCAAGAGGAAGAGAGTACTTTTGCATTGGGGGGGTCTCTCTCTTGTGGGCTACAGGCAGGGCCCACTCCTCCCGCCTTCAGAGATGCTGACCCGGCAGAAGCAGAGCAGCCCCAGGCACCTGGGCAAAGCAAGGAGGGAGGGAGGAAACTGGGCGTCAGGCCATAGCTTTGGCAGAGAGAAGAAGGGGGGTGGTCCGCCAAGTACGGCTGAGGTCCCCAAAAGGGGAAAGTGGGCATTGCGGATGCCCGCTGGGTGGGAGGTGGGCTTTGGCCGGGTCCTCCTCCTCCTTTCCTTCTGTTGCAGGGCTTCTTTGAGGGAGATGAGGGGGCCCTATGGAAGCAGACAGACCCTCCACCCCCCCCCCCCAATGGCTTTCCCTCGGCCATGGAGGACTTGCCTCTGCCGCTGGGCCTCGGCCTCTTCCTCCAAGAGCTCCAGCTGCGTGGAGAGCGGTCGGGACAGAGCCTCCTGCTGATCCCTCTGGAAAAAGAAGGAGGAGGAGAAGGATGTCAGGATTAATTTAGTTATGTATGTGTTTTTCAATGTGCTTCTATGTATTGCCACTGTGAATTGAAAATGACATGCAGAAATGTTTATACTTTGAGGCTGTGACTAAGTGAACTTGAGAAAAGTAAGATAAGGTTTGTTCTCGCTGAGAACAGAAGGGAGTTGCCAGTCTCAGCAAGAGAAGATAAGCATGTGTGAAGAGGCTTTCGTTTTGACTAGTTCCTGAATTGTAGCTCTCTGTAGTAAGACATGTCTGTTGAATGTACTTAGTAAACTTAGTTTCTTTTGTAACTCAAAGCCTGCAGAGTCCTTATTTTGCAACTCAGTGTCTGTTGATCCAGCATTCCTTCCGCTGGGTATCGTCAATCTCTGACAAAGGAGACAAGCAGGGGCTCTGTGGTGCGGCCCAGAAAGGCTGCTGGTGTCACCTATTCTGACCTGGTGTCCCTAAGACCTGTATAGCAGTGGTTCTCGACCTGTGGGTCCCCAGGTGTTTTGGCCTACAACTCCCAGAAATCCCAGTTAGTTTAGGACTTCTGGGAGTTGAAGGCCAAAACACCTGGGGACCCACAGGTTGAGAACCACTGCTATATAGACTACTGCAACGCTGTCTACGTGGGGTTGCCTTTGAAGACTGTCTGGAAGTTTCAAACGGTCCAGCAAATGGCAGCCAGATTACTAATAGGAACAGCGCTCAGGGAGTTCGAAGCCAGCCCGGGTCGGAATGAGCTTCCAGCCAATTTGTGTAGCTTGCTGTCGACCTTTGCGGCCCGAAAGACAGTTGTGTCCGTCAAGTAGGAAAATTAGGGTCTGGACCAAACTTGGCACAAATACCCAATATGCCCAAATATAAACAGAGATGGAGTTTGGGGGAAATAGACCTTGACATGTGGGAGTTGTAGTTACTAGGATGTATAGTTCACCTACAACCAAAGAGCGTTCTGAACCCCACCAACGATGGAATTGTGGAATTGGGCCAAACATCCCACACAGAGCCCCCATGACCAACAGCAAACACTGTGTTTTCTGGTGGTCTTGGGTGACCCTTCTGACCCCCCCCCCCCATGGTCTTGACTTCCCAGGTTGAGAAATGCTGCCTTAAGGCCATCCAGTCCAACTCCCTTTACCAGGGCAAGAAAACATAATCAAAGTCTTCCTGAAAAAGGGCCATCCAGCCATACAAACACACACATATATATGTATATGACAGATGCAGTATCAAAGATTTGAATGGGACCCTTAAAGAAGGACAATGATATGGGCAAACCAGACTCTCTCCACATCAACACTGACAAAGAAACAGCAAGAAATACTGTTACTCACAAGCAGAAAGAAATTACAAAGATTAGAAACCAACACTTTCTCATTACTTTATTTTCCAGATCAACACACTGGGCCACAGCAACACCTGGCAGGGGACGGCTAGTTATTTATATATTATTAGAAGGGGACCCAGCTCAGACTAGGAGGGACTGTGGCGCAGCTGTCTGAGTCTCAGCTGCATTAATAATAATAATAATAATAATAATAATAATAATACTTTATTTGTACCCCACTACCATCTCCCCAAGGGACTCGGTGCGGCTTACATGAGGCCGAGCCCACAACACGGCAATAACAAGCAAAAACAACAATAATACAAGCAGTAAATAAAACTCATAACAGCAAATAAACAATAAACATTAGCAATAGCACGACGACATTTAAAAACGTATGGCTGGGTCAAATGTAATAATTAAAAAATTAAAATATGCTAGACATGGCAGGTATAATATGACTAGGGTGGATTTCCGGGAAGTGATGGGCGTGCAAAAACAATCCTAGGTCATTAATAAAGTGCATTTAAGGACAGATTGCTAGGAGTTTCTTATTCTGGGAAGGCACATTGGAATAACCACGTTTTCAGACTCCTCCTAAAGATTTCCACGGTTGGGGCATGCCTAATGTCCTTGGGGAGTGAATTCCAGAGATGAGGGGCCACCACCGAGAAGGCCCTCTCCCTCGTCCCCACCAGTCGCACCTGCGACAGAGGTGGGAGTGTGAGCAGGGCCTCTCCAGATGATCGGAGAGATCGTGTGGGTTTGTACACAGAAATGTGGTCACGCATTAAGATCACTACTGACCAAAAGGTCATGACTTTGTCTAGATCTAGGGAAGTCCTGCTCCCCATGCTCTATTCCGCTTTGGTTAGACCACACCTGGAATATTGTGTCCAATTCTGGGCATCACAATTCAAGAGAGATATTGACTCTAAGCTGGAATGTGTCCAGAGGAGGGCGACTAAAATGATCACAGGTCTGGAGAACAAGCCCTATGAGGAGCGGCTTAAGGAGCTGGGCATGTTTAGCCTGAAGAAAAGAAGGCTGAGAGGGGATATGATAGCCATGTATAAATATGTGAGAGGAAGCCACAGGGACGAGGGTGCAGATCAATGGTCTGGAGAACAAGCCCTATGAGGAGCGGCTTAAGGAGCTGTGCATGTTTAGCCTGAAGAAGAGAAGGCTGAGAGGGGATATGATAGCCATGTATAAATATGTGAGAGGAAGCCACAGGGAGGAGTGAGATCAACTGTCTTGAGAACAAGCCCTATGAGGAGTGGCTTAAAGAGCTGGGCATGTTTAGTCTGCAGAAGAGACGACTGTGAGGAGACATGATGAGGACCATGTATAAAGATGTGAGGAGAAGTCATAGGGAGGAGGGTCACCATTGGTCTGGAGAACAAGCCCTATGAGGAGCGGCTTAAGGAGCTGGGCATGTTTAGCCTGAAGAAGAGAAGGCTGAGAGGAGATATGATAGCCATGTATAAATATGTGAGAGGAAGCCACAGGGAGGAGGGAGCAAGCTTGTGTTTTCTGCTTCCCTGGAGACTAGGACGCGGAACAATGGCTTCAAACTACAAGAGAGGAGATTCCATCTGAACATGAGGAAGAACTTCCTGACTGTGAGAGCCGTTCAGCAGTGGAACTCTCTTCCCCGGAGGGAGTGTGGTGGAGGCTCCTTCTTTGGAAGCTTTAAACAGAGGCTGGATGGCCATCTGTCAGGGGTGCTTTGAATGCAATATTCCTGCTTCTTGGCAGAATGGGGTTGGACTGGATGATGGACCAGGAGGTCTCTCCCAACTCTAGGATTCTATGACTTTGAAGCCAGCCTGGGTTGGAGTGAGCGTCCGGCCAATTTGCGTAGTTTGCTGTCGACCTTCGCGGCCCGAAAGACAGTTGCGTCCGTCAAGTAGGGAAATGAGGTCCCGCTTATGTGGGGAGGCTGATTTAACTCGTGTAGGAGGCCATAAAAATCTCCAGGAAGCATGCGGGGAATGAGGAAGCACTCACCATGGCTTCCTCGGCCTGGCGCACCAGCTCCGCCGCCTGGGCTTCCAGTGCCGCATTCAAGCGCCTGAAAAGCAAGAGGGAGAGACAGAGAGACAGAGAGGGGGCCACCAAGGGCCCAATATGGCCCCATATTTACATATATGTGTATGTCAACACATAGACATGGCATAACAACAGTCACAAACCAAGTGAACAAAAGACAACACAGAGAACTCTCCCTCTCACATCACCTAGAGCAGGCCTCGGCCCACTTGGGCATTCCTTCCCTCCAGGCTGTTAGGAATGGTGGGAGTTGTAGTCCCCAACACCTGGAGGGAAAGAAGGCAGTAGGCCCAGGCCTGGCCCGACTTGGGCCTTACTTGTACTCCTCCTCCTTGGCCAGGAAGGCGCCCAGGCCCAAGCCCAGGCCCAAGCCCTTCTTCCCTCCCTTCACCGCCGCCATCTTCGCCGGAAGACACGCGCCTTCCCCGTTGCCAGGCAACGGCAAGCCCGAGGAGGGGCTCACGCTTCCGGCCACGCCCCCTCCAACAGCACTTCCGCTTCCTGTCCCACAGGAGGAGAGGGGCCACGTGGGTGGAGGGCCTCCTCCTGCCCCCCTCCCTCACTCCTTCCCTTCCTTCCTTCTTATTTCCTTCTTTCTTTCTTCACTCTCTCCCTTCCTTCCTTCCATCTTTTTTTCCTCCTTCTCTTTCCTCCCTTCCTGCTTTCCTTCCTTGCTTCTTCCATCCATCCTCTCTTCCTTCTCTTTCCTCCCTCCCCTCCCTTCTTTCCCTCCTTCTTTCCTTCCTCCCTTCTTATTTCCTTCTTTCTTTCCTCCCTCCCTTCCCTTCTTTCCTTCCTTCCTCCTTTATTTCTTTCTTCCCTCCCTTTCCTTCCATCTTTTTTCCTCCCTTCATTCTCTTTCCTCCCTCCCTTCTATCCCTCCTTCTTTCCTTCCTCCCTTCCATCCTTCCTTCCTTCTCGTTCTTCCCTTCTTTCCCTCCTTCTTTCCTTCCTCCCTCCCTTCCATCCTCCCTTCCTGCTTTCCTTCCTTCCTCCTCTCTTCCCTTCTTTCCTTCCTTCCTCTTTCCTTCCTCCTTTTTCTTCCTTCCTTCCATCTTTTCCCTCCCTCCCTTCTCTTTCCTCCCTCCCTTCTTATTTCCTTCTTTCTTTCCTCCCTCCCTTCCCTTCTTTCCTTCCTTCCTCCTTTATTTCTTTCTTCCCTCCCTTTCCTTCCATCTTTTTTCCTCCCTTCATTCTCTTTCCTCCCTCCCTTCTATCCCTCCTTCTTTCCTTCCTCCCTTCCATCCTTCCTTCCTTCTCGTTCTTCCCTTCTTTCCCTCCTTCTTTCCTTCCTCCCTCCCTTCCATCCTCCCTTCCTGCTTTCCTTCCCTCTTCCTTCCTTCCATCCTCTCTTCCCTTCTTTCCTTCTTTCCTTCCTTCCTGCTTTCCCTTCCTCCTTTATTCTTCCTTCCTTCCATCTTTTCCCTCCCTCCCTTCTCTTTCCTCCCTCCCTTCTTATTTCCTTCTTTCTTTCCTCCCTCCCTTCCCTTCTTTCCTTCCTTCCTCCTTTATTTCTTTCTTCCCTCCCTTTCCTTCCATCTTTTTTCCTCCCTTCATTCTCTTTCCTCCCTCCCTTCTATCCCTCCTTCTTTCCTTCCTCCTCCCATCCTCCCTTCCTCTTTCTTCCTTCCTCTTCCCTTCTTTCCTTCCTTCCTCTTTCCTTCCTCCTTTATTTCTTCCTTTCCTTCCATCTTTTCCTCCCTCCTCTCTTTCCTCCCTCCCTTCTTTCCTCCTTCTTTCCTTCCTCCCTTTCCTCCTTCCTCCTTCCTTCTTCTCTTTTCCCTTCCTTCTTTCCTCCTCTCTCCTTTTTCTTTCCTTCCTTCCTCTTTCCTTCCTTCCTTCCTTTCTCCTTTCCTTCTTCTTCCTTCCTTCCCTTTCCTTCTCTCTTTCCTCCTCCCTTCCCTTCTTTCCTCCTTCTTTCCTTCCTTCCTCTTTCCTTCCTCCTTTCTTTCTTCCTTCCTTCCATCTTTTCCTCCCTTCCTTCTCTTCCTTTCCCTTTTTTCCTTCCTTCTTTCCTTCCTTCCTCCCTTTCCTTCCTTGCTTCTTCCTTCCTTTCCATCTTCCTTCCTTCTCTTTCCTCCCTCCCTTCCCTTCTTCCCTCTTTCCTTCCTTCCTCTTTCCTTCCTTCCTCTTTCCTTCCTTCTTTCCTTCTCTTTCCTCCTCCCTTCCCTTCTATCCCTTCTTTCCTTCCTCCTTCCTCCTCCCTTCCTTCCTGCTTTTCCTCCTTCTTTCTTCCCTCCTTCCTTCCATCTTTTTTCCTCCCTTCCCTTCTTTCCTTCCTCCCTTCCTGCTTTCCTTCCTTGCTTCTTCCTTCTCTTCCATCTTCGCTTCCTTCTCTTTCCTCCCTCCCTTCCCTTCTTTCCTTCCCCTTTCTTCCTCCTTCTTCTTTCCCTCCTTCTTCCTCCTCCTTCCTTCCTTCCTTCTTCCTTCCTCCTCCTCTTCTCTTCTCTTTCCTCTCTCCTTCCCTTCTATCCACCCTTCTTTCCTTCCCTCCCTCCTTCCTTTCCTTCCTCTTTCTTTCCTCCTCTTTCCTTCTCCCTTCCTTTTTTCCTCCTTCTTTCCTCCCTCCTCCCTTCCTTCCTTCCTTCCTGCTTTCCTTCTTCCTTCTTCCTTCTCCCTTCCTCCATTCTTTCTCTCTTTCCTTCTCTTTCCTCCTCCTCCCTTCTTCCACCTCTTTCCTTTTCTTTCCTCCCTCCCTTCCCTTCTTTTCCTCCTTCTTCCTTCCTCCTTTCCTTCCACCCATCCTCTCTTCCTTCTCTTTCCTCCCTCCCTTCCCTTCTATCCCTCCTTTCCTTCCTCCCTTCTCTTTCCTCTCTCCCTTCCCCTTCCTTCTTTCCTTCCTCCATTCCTTCCATTTTCCCTTCCTTCTCCATCCTTCCTCCCTTCATTCTCTTCCCTTGCTACCTTCCTGCGTTCCTTCCTTCTTCCTTTCTTTCCTCCCTCCCCTTCTTTCCTTCCTGCTTTTTCTTTCTTTCCTTCCTTCCTTCCTCCTAAAATTAAGGTCAGTGCCCACCAAACCCTTTCAGTAATTTCTGTTCGTCGTGGGAGTTCTGTGTGCCAAGTATGGTTCAGTTCCATCATTGGTGAAGTTCAGAGTGCTCCTTGATTGTAGGTGAACTATAAATCCCAGCAGCTAGAACTTCCAAATGTCAAAGTCTGTTTCCCCAAACTCCACCAGTGTTCACATTTGGGCATATTGAGTATTCGTGCCAAGTTTGGTCCAGATCCATCATTGTTTGAGTCCATGCTCTCTGGATGTAAGTGAACTACAACTCCCAAACTCAAGGTCAATGCCCACCAAACCCTTTCAGTAATTTCTGTTCATTGTGGGAGTTCTGTGTGCCAAGTATGGTTCAGTTCCATCATTGGTGGAGTTCAGAGTGCTCTTTGATTGTGGGTGAACTATAAATCCCAGCCACTACAACTCCAAAATGCCAAGATCTGTTGGAATTAGGAAAAAGGGTTTTACATATCTGTGGAATGACCAGGGTGGGACAAAGGACGCTTGTTTGCTGGAGCCAGGTGTGAATGTTTCAACTGATCACCTTGATTAGCATTTGATGGCCTGGCATTTTGGAGCAATCCTTTGTTGATACTGGTGGGGTTGGCGGGGGGATTGATTTTGTCATTTGGGAGTTGTAGTTGCTGGGATTTATAGTTAACATGTAAACAAAGAGCATTCTGAACCCCACCAACAATGGAATTGACTCAAAGTTGGCACAGAGAACTCCCATGATCAACAAAAAATACTGGAAGGGTTTGGTTGGCATTGACCTTGAGTTTGGGAGTTGTAGTTCACCTACATCCAGAGAGCACTGTGGGCTCAAACAAGGATGGATCTGGACCAAACTTGGCACAATACTCAATATGCCAAATGTGAACACTGGTGGGGGAAAATAGAATCTTGACGTTTTGGAGTTGTAGTTCACCTACATTCAGAGAGCACTACGGGGACTCAAACAATGACGTATCTGGACCAAACTTGGACACGAATACTCAATATGCCCAAATGTGAACACTGGTGGAGTCGGGAGAAAATAAAATCTTGACATTTGGGAGCTGTAGTTCACTTACATCCAGAGAGCACTGTGGGCTCAAACAATGACGGATCTGGACCAAACTTGGCATGAATACTCAATATGCCCAAATGTGAACACTGGTGGAGTCTGGGGAAAATAGACTTTGATATTTGGGAGTTGTAGATACTGGGATTTATAGTTCACCTACAATCAAGGAGCGTTCTGAACCCCACCAATGATAGAATTGGGCCAAACTTCCCACACAGAACCCCCATGACCAACAGAAAATACTGTGTTTTCTGATGGTCTTTGATGACCCCTCTGATACCCCTTCGTGACCCTTGCAGGGGTCCCGACCCCCAGGTTGAGAAACACTGTACTAAGGGGTCACGGCATGAGGAAGGTTGAGATTCCCCAACAGACCAAGAGGGTCTCAAAACAAAGGAGGCCCCAGAGAGAGAGAGAGAGAGAGATGGAGAGAGGCAGGGATTCCCCTTCTGCATCGTCATCCCTCTTTGTTTCGTGGTTGTGTGCCGGCAAAACAGGTCTCTCTCTCTCTCTCCCGCTTCCCTTAATCTCCGTCTGTAATCCAGACAGATTTCTCTGGGATCTCTTATTATAATCTCCATTTAGCAATATGTTGTCGGCGGGGGAGACGCACCACCCGGCACAACAAACCTCCCCTTGCCCAGGGCATTGTTAAGCCCCTGTGTTGTTGACGTGTGGGGAGGAAAACAACCACAACAAGAGTCCAAGCTGTAAGGCCGTAAGGGACCCAGGGTTTTGCCAGGGTCCAAAGAGGGAGTGAAAGCACGCCAAGGGCACCTCCGCTTCCCCAATTGCCCTCCAGCATTCCTTTCCAAGATAAGAAGGACCTGAATGAGCCTTAATCCCAGGCAAAGGGGTCAAGGGAGGCCAGGCTGGACTCTCCGTCTCCAGCCAGAGAGAGAGAGACAGGGAATATACGAATGAACGCGCCACAAGGCGGACTTCCAAGAAAGTCATCCACAAGAAAACCTTTTACTTGACATCTAATCACCTCTCAACAAAAGTTTGCTCCAGGCACTGCCAGGCCCTTATATGCTAATCAAGGTGGTCAGTTGAAACATTCACACCTCGCTCCAGCAGACAAGAGTCCTTTGTCCCACCCTTGTCATTCCACAGATACATAAACCCTTTGTCCTAGTTCCAACAGACCTCACTACCTCTGAGGATGCTTGCCATAGATGCAGGCGAAACGTCAGGAGAGAATGCCTCTAGAACATGGCCATGTAGCCTGAAAAAAACCTACAACAAGGACATCTAATCACCTCTCAAAAAAAGATTGCTCCAGGCACTGTCAGGCCATCAAATGCTAATCAAGGTGATCAGTTGAAACATTCACACCTAGCTCCAGCAGACAAGAGTCCTTTGTCCCACCCTTGTCATCCCACAGATACATAA